AAATACTCCCATTTACCATTGCAACAAGAAGAATAAAATACCTAGGAATAAACCTACTGTAGGAGACAAAAGACCTATATGCAGAAAACTATAAGACACTGATGAAATAAATTAGAGATGATACAAACAGAGGGAGGGATACACCATGTTCTTGGATTGGAAGAATCAACATTGTGAAAACGACTATACTACCCAAAGCAATCTACAAGTTCAATGCAATCCGTATCAAACTACCACTGGCATTTTTCACAGAACTAGAACAAAAAATTTTACAATTTGTATGGAAACACAAAAGACCCTGAATAGCCAGAGAAATCTTTTTAATTAATTAATTAATTATTCTTTGGCTATATTGGGTCTTTGTTGCTGTGCATGGGATTTCTCTAGTTGCAGCGAGTGGGGGCTACTCTTCGTTGCAGTGTGCGGGCTCCTCATTGCAGTGGCTCCTCTTGTTGTGGACCACAGGCTCTAGGTGCACGGCCTATAGTAGTTGTGGCACTCGGGCTCAGTGGTTGTGGCTCGTGGGCTCTAGAGCACAGGCTCAGTAGTTGTGGCGCCTGGGCTTAGCTGTTCTACGGCATGTGGGATCTTCCTGGACCTGGGCTCAAACACGTGCCCCCTGCATTGGCAGGTGGATTCTTAACCACTGCACCACCAGGGCAGCCCCAGCCAAAGCAATCTTGAGAAAGAAAAATGGAACTGGAGGAATCAGGCTCCTGGACTTCAGACTAAACTACAAAGCTACAGTAATGAAGACAGTATGATACTGGCACAAAAACAGAAATATAGATCAGTGGAACAGGATAGGAAGCCCAGAGGTAAACCCACGCACATATGGTCACCTTATTTTTGATAAAGGAGGCAAGAATATACAATAGAAAAAAAGATAGCCTCTTCAATAAGTGGTGTTGGGATAACTGGACAGCTACATGTAAAAGAATGAAATTAGAACACTCCCTAACACCGTATACAACAGTATAGGGTGGATTAAAGACCAAAGTGTAAGGCCAGACACTATAAAACTCCTAGAGGAAAACATAGGCAGAACACTCTATGACATAAATCACAGCAAGATCCTTTTTGACCCAGCTCCTAGAGAAATGAAATAAAAACAAAAATAAACAAATGGGACCTAATGAAACTTAAAAGATTTTGCACAGCAAAGGAAACCATAAACGAGGCAAGACAACCATCAGAATGGGAGAAATATTTGCAAACGAAGCAACTGACAAAGGATCAATCTCCAAAATATACAATCAGCTCATGCAGCTCAACATCAAAAGAACAACCCAATCCAAAAATGGGCAGAAGAGCTAAATAGACATTTCTCCAAAGAAGATATACAGATTGCCAACAAACACATGAAAGGATTCTCAACATCATTAATCATTAGAGAAATGCAAATCAAAACTACAATGAGGTATCACCTCACACCCATCAGAATGGCTACCATCAGAAAATCTACAAACAATAAATGCTGGAGACGGTGCGAACAAAACGGAACCCTCTTGCACTGTTGGTGGCATTGTAAATTGATACAGTTACTATGGAGAATGGTATGGAGTTCCTTAAAAAACGAAAAATAGAACTACCATATGATCCAGCAATCCCACTACTGGGCATATATTCTGAGAAAACCATAATTCAAAGAAACATGTACCACAATGTTCATTGCAGCTCTATTTACAATAGTCAGGACATGGAAGCAACCTAAGTGTCCATCGACAGATGAATGGATAAAGAAGATGTGGAACATATTTACAATGGAATATTACTCAGCCATAAAAAGAAATGAAATTGAACTATTTGTAGTGAGTTTGATGGACCTAGAGTCTGTCATACAGAGTGAAGTAAGTCCGAAAGAGAAAAACAAATATCGTATGCTAACACATATATAGGGAATCCCAAAAAAATAGGTTCTGATGAACCTAGGGGCAGGACAGGAATAAAGACACAGACATAGTGAATGGACTTGAGGACACAGGGAGTGGGAAGGGTAAGCTGGAACGAAGTGAGAGAGTGGCATGGACATATATGCACTACCAAATGTAAAACAGATAGCTAGTATAGATGAGCTGGGTGCTTTGTGACCACCTAGAGGGGTGGATAGGGAGGGTGCGAGGGAGACGCAAGAGGGAGGGGATATGGGGATATATGTATACATATAGCTCGTTCACTTTGTTATACAGCAGAAACTAACACAACATTGTAAAGCAATTATACTCCAATAAAGGTGTTAAAAATTTTTTTTAAAAACTCCTCTGCAATAGAAAGAGACAAACTGCTGTTACCACAACAGCACAGAAGAATCACAAAACCATACTTGTTTACATATTGCAGGAAGCCCAGGAGTATATACTGTATCACTGAAGTTCAAGAACAGGCATAAACAATCTGTGGTAATAAAAATCAGTATAATAGTTATCTTTAGTTATCTTTGGCGGAATCAGAGGTTGATCTGAAAGGGAAATTTCCTAGGATAACAGGAACGCTCTATATCTTGATCTGGGCAATGGTTACACAGGGGTATACATTTGCCAAATATATATTGCACTGTAGACTTAAGATCTGTGCATTTTATCACTCTATGCTACTTATACCTCAATAAAACACTGTTAGCATAAAATGTGTGTTACTTATAAACAAATCAATAAACATAAAACACAAACAATATACATATAAATAATTCTCAACTTCATGTGCTAATGTGAAGATACAGTGGAAAGAACTTGAACACTAGGAGAAAAAAGTTTACAGTTTATCAAAATATGCGAAGTAGCATTTTTTAAAAAATAAGAGAATAATATGTACAAAACCTTTATAGGACTTTATGCTATGAATTGTTACGGGCATGCTGGATGGATACCAGGAATGATTGCTATTCTAGTTGACTCCAAAATATATTTCCATACAATAAATTATTTATAACTTTGTATGACCTAAATGATAATTTTATAAATTTTGTTTGGAGCCAATTATATAAGTATTTTGCAGGAAAATATTATTGTTATAAATAATATAAATGTACATGTATATTACACATGTAAAGTGAAAAACTCAGTACTTCCTGTTAGAATTATTTTACTTAGTAATGCCTGCCAAAATGCTCATAGACCTTTTTGAGCCAAAGTTTGTTTCCTTGGAAAGTGTGTTTTAGATATTACAATAAAGTTCTACTTTAGTTTCAAAATTTATACACAAACCACAAAGAATCTCACATATTACAGAACAATTTACTAAGGCTAGCAATTATTATAATAATTGAAGTAATACTTCATAAGCATAACTATGACATAAAGGCAGCTATTAATCTGATTAGAATTTTGAAAATTAGTTAGGCAATAAGTTTTAGCATATGATTTTTTTATGCTTATTTTTTATTTATTTTTTCTTATTAGTCAACCATTTTATACACATCAGTGTATACATGTCAATCCCAATCTCCCAATTCATCAACACCACCACCCCCCCCACCCCCCCTCCGCTTTCCCCCCTTGGTGTCCATATGTTTGTTCTCTACATCTGTGTCTCAATTTCTGCTCTGCAAACCAGATCATCTGTACCATTTTCTAGATTCCACATATATGCGTTAATATACGATATTTGTTTTTCTCTTTCTTACTTCACTCTGTATGGCAGTCTCTATACGCATCCACAGCTCTACAAATGACCCAATTTCGTTCCTTTTTATGGCTGATTAATATTCCATTGTATATATGTACCATGTCTTCTTTATCCATTAGTCTGTCGATTGGCATTTAGGTTGCTTCCATGACCTGGCTATTGTAAATAGTGCTGCAATGAACATTGGGCTGCATGTGTCTTTTTGAATTATGGTTTTCTCTGGGTATATGCCTAGTAGTGGGATTGCTGGGGCATATGGTAATTCTATTTTTAGTTATTTAAGGAACCTCCATACTGTTCTCCATAGGGGCTGTATCAATTTACATTCCCACCAACAGTGCAAGAGGGTTCCCTTTTCTCCACACCCTCTCCAGCATTTATTATCTATAGACATTTTGATGATGGTCATTCTGACTAGTGTGAGGTGATACCTCATTGTGGTTTTGATTTGAATTTCTCTAATAATTAGAGATGTTGAGCATCTTTTCACGTGCCTGTTGGCCATCTGTATGTCTTCTTTGGAAAAATGTATTATTAGGTCTTCTGCCCATTTTTTGACATTGAGTTGTATGAAGTTGTTTGTGTATTTTGGCTATTAACCCTTTGTCGATCGTGCCATTTGCAAATATTTTCTCCCATTCCGTAGATTGCCTTTTTGTTTTGTTGGTGGTTTCCTTTGCTGTGCAAAAGCTTTCAAGTTTGATTAGATCTCACTTATTTATTTTTGCTTTTATTTCTTTTGCCTTGGGAGTCCCTGTCCCCTGACTTAAACGTGGTCTTTTATTTCTGTTTATGATCTTCCACTATCACCTTCTTGCTTCAAGCTTCACTTTTGCCTTATATGGGTCACTGTCAAACCACACTGGCCTCCACATTCCCAGGTCTGAGACCTCTCGTTGCTGCTATTCCCATGACCATTATCAATGCTCCTGGCTGACTCAAGGTCTCAGGATGTGGCTTTCAAATACCAGCGCTCCCAGGAGGATTTGGGACATTGGGGTATGGGGGTGGACTCAGTAGGAACAGGGAATGTTAACCTATTACTATTTCTCTGGCATACATGAATATAGCAGAACTAGAGAGTTTAGGAAAATGGCCACATAGCAGGTGTAATTTTCCTAAGGCTACAGACTAATGTAGAAATAGAAAATCACTCAGCTCCATCCCAGCACCCTCAGCTCACCAGTGCATTCTCCTTTATGGAGCTGGATGAAGACTTCTGCAAGGGGTGTTTGCCAGGGCCAGCCTACCGCAAAGTATTGCTGAGTCTTCAGGACAATAGAGGAAATTCTTAAACTCAAAGCATCAGTGCTTTTGCTGTATTTACACTGATATTACATGTGCAAATGCCCAGCAGTCCATGGCTGCTCTCTTACCTTGTGTAATTGGTAATACTGCAGGGCACCGATTCCACCTTGCTCCTCTGCAGTCCAGAGCACCAAACGCAGAGTCCTCTTTGGACGCAGCCCTGGGAAAAATAATAAAATAAAACAAGTGATTCTTCAGTTGCTTTTGAATTTTTGAAAAGTGGCAGGGCCTCTTATCTGCATTCTGGAGGCAGGAGGGAATCAGAGGTGTGCACATTCATCTCTTATTGGTGTGGCTGCTTGATTTAGGGTGTGGCTGACACAACAAAGGAGTACCCTCAGGGCTGATCTCCAGGGCAGGTTAATGAAGAAAGGGGTTGTGATAAATGCGGTCTGCCGGCCAGGAATTGAGAGCCTCTATTCATATCCTTAACTGGACAACCTGCCCAGTAGGACCCAATGGATGGCCAAGTTCATTGGGATATTAGATTGCATCCAGAAGATGCAGTTAGGCTCTAGACAGATCACGAGGCCTTCCAATGATTAACTGAAACCCAATCATTTGCCTCTGCTTCAAGACAAGGTGTGTCGGGAGTTGCCTCTTAGTCTAAATCCACAAGTATAGCTAGCTGCCCATGCTGTCCTTAGTAATGATGGTGAAGCAGATGCAATGTTTATGTTTGCCCAGGGTCATGTTCCCCTCCTTCTTGGACATATAAGGTCATTCACTTAAGGTCAATGAAAATGAATTGAATGAGAATGACACTTTATTCATCTCATTACCGCACAAACAGCTTGGTGGCAATTTCATTGACTCGGGAAATGTAAACTTGTATCCTGCAGTTATTAAAGCTACTAGCAGATCTGGCGTATCTAATGGTCAAACAGTATGCTGAAAGTTCCACTTTTTGACCAAGAATTAAAATTCATTTCTGATTTGGACCTGATGATGTGGTTTCTGAGAGATAACAAAGGCAGAAACATGTGAAGCTGGGCTTAAATCTTATTAATAAGATCTGTCCTCTTGCCTCACTGCAGGGAAACCATAGGGAAGGACTTTGAATGGCTCCGAGATGGACACACTATAGACGTCGAGTATAACCAACTGCTACCACCCAGGCACGTGGCCTTCTTCAAGGGAGCCGGCGGGTCGACTTCAGCCTGGATGATAAATGCTCCTGGGAAATGGAGCTCTGTCCTGCCTCCTCCGGACACCAACAAGTATTCTGCTTTCACAAGTCTAGTGCCAAGGCATTGAAAAGGAGCTACGTTTCTCACTAAGTTGAATACTGTGAAGCTACTTTACACTTGAGCATTTTAACATAATTAAAAGAGCACAGGTTTAGGAGGCAGGCTGACCTGAGTTCCAGTTAAAGCCTAGACAAGCAATGTCCACATCCAATTGTTCAGCAAATCCCATTGGTGTTTTCTTCTACGTCCATCTAGAATCCAACTTTTCACCTCTGCTACCACGCTGGTTCAAGCCCCACCTTCTTTTGCCTGGACTGTTGCAAAACAGTCCTCCTAACTGGTCTCCCTGACTCAGCCTGTGCCCCTCTGCAGCTGATGGCCTGCACTGCAGTCAGCAAGACTCCTGTAAAACTTATACCAGAGCATGTCATTTCTCTGTTCAAAACCTCCAAGAGCCATACTGTAAGCTTCTCAACGGCAGGTATTTAAGCTTTGTGATTCAATGTGATGCCCCCAATGCCCAGACTGCTTGGCACATATTAGGTGCCCAATAAATAGGTCTTGAATGAATAAATTAATCCAAAGTGTGGTGCCTCACTAGTAAAATTCAAAGCCCTCTACCACTGTCTCAACCTCATTTCCTAAAATTTTCCTGCTAGCTCATTTCCAGGCAAAATGTTGTAGTTGAAAAAGGCAGACAGATCTGGTGAGCACTGCTATTAATAGGCACTAGCTGTGTAACCACTGGGAACTAGATCTACCTGAACTTCAGCTTCCTTATCTAAAGAGTGGAGGGAATATTACATGCTCATAACATAACAGCTTCCCTGGGTGGTTGTGAGGATGAAATGAGGTGTGATGAAGACAATCTGTGTCTGCCATGCAACAGACATTCAATGAATGAATTATAAAACTACATAATGGATAGCCAGGCACAGAGCACACACTTTTACCCATAGAGAGAAGGGGCATCTAAATACTCAGGACAATCTTCCAAAGTCATTTGAGCCCCTGCTGAAGAAGAATCGTGAAGTACCCACTGCCTGCTGCACAGAGTCAAACCACCGACTCACATTCATAGCACAAACTTAAACTGCTGTTGGATTAAGAAATATAATCAGTCTATATCTAAAGACCATAGTCACTGGCTCCTCTAACAGAAATGTGCTTAGTGTCAATTTAAATCAAATGACATTTTGCTTGCAACATAGAAAAAAAATAAAAAAAGATAAAGTGCTGCAAATGAAAATTCTGAACATGTTTTTAGGTCCATAAAGAAGAGGAAAAAACTTTGTTTACATATCTCGTCATTTACCAGCAAAACAGTACCAAGTTATTAAAATGATGGAATTCTCTAAATAAGGATCAAGGGACAGTTAGCACAAGTTAGAGAAAAATCAATTTTTAAAAGCAAATGCCCTGAATATCCCCACAGATTTGGTGTTCTACTTGCAAATCGTTACCGTACAGGATTAGTCTCCTTCACATTTCAATCAGCTAGATAACCAATGATGTTATATTAAGATAACAAAAAAGTAATCGGTTTGAAGTGAAGAATGCTTAGGCCTCCAAACAACAACAGCATAGCTGGTGCATGGCTGGCCTTCAGGAGACAGAGCCACCTCCCAGCCCTGGAGAAGTTCAGTCCCCACCCAACTCCACATTCAAGTTTAAGGCCCAAACAGAAGAGGTTAGGAAACCAGTGGTTAAGCAAATACCTGACTGAGCTGTGAAGTCTCTTCTCCACTCTGACATTCTGATTGTCCCTAGAACCTAAGAGAAATGCATGGGACTTCATTCAGTACTAGACCCTGACTTTAGTGTGGACTTGGAGCCCCCAGGCCCCCTGAGTCCACAGACAGGCAGCATGGGGCACAGAAAGGTCTTGGCTATGGAATCTCAATAAACATTGTTTGATTCCCTGCTCTGCCACCTCTGGCTCTTTGACTTTAGATGAGTTGCCCAATCTCTCTGAGCCTCAGTTTCCTCATCTACACCATAAGGAAAAGGGGAACGACCTCATGACTTTGTTAAGAAAATTAAATGAGACCAGGCAAATATATAGGAAGCACAGTTCCTGGCGCATAGTAGGCTTTCAAGAATTGTCTGTTAGCTTCACTCTACATCACTCCATGAACTTCAGTCTGTGCCAATGATTTCCTGGGAAATCCTGTGAGAGAACTAGGAAGGAGGCATCTTCCTCATTCTTCTTCCCTAGGAACCGTAGAACATCTTTGTTTATACATAATGCATACCCACCAAGGGAGAAACACAAATTTCACCTAGCTCACCTCTCACCTAGCTCAGAAAAACACATAACCTCTTTCAGCACGGAGTAGGCCCTCATTCCAACATAGAGCATATCCAAATCCAAATAAACAGAAATTGTTTCCTCACTTTAAAAACTGAAGGCCAATCAGAATTTTTAGTTTCTGGATAAAGTAAAAAAAGCTGAATAAATCTGAAAACTGAATAAAGTTGATACAGAGATGTCTGCATTTATCATTTTAAAATAATAGAATGTATTGTGTATCTCAAATCCAAACTGGTTTCAAAGCTAGGCATTTTAAGTATATAAAGTAACAAAAATAACAACAACAACAATAATAAAACAGTAATAATGACAGCAACACAACAAAGTGATACAAGGTCAAATGCAGGGATCTCATCTTGTAGTGAAACTAGGGCAAATGAATAGCTCCACAGTAATCCTAGCTCACAGCTGTGGCCCTGGCTCAGTGGTTTACAGCACCAGCCTAAGGCAAGCACAAGAAGTAAACCTTAGAATTGGAGGTGAGAGGGAAGACCCCGGCTGAGCTGGCTAGGAGTCAGGTCTCATTGAGGTTTTGTCAGAAGATGGGCAATTAGTTCCCCCATAAATGTAATGAAACTGCCCAGAGATCTCTTGGCCTCCTGGAATTTTTATTAAGAACTTCAGATAGCACAACAAACTTTGATGGCATTACAGTTTTTCTCTAGAAGAACATAAACTACAGATAATATGTCAGAGTCTTGTCTTTTTTTATGAAATAAGACACACGCATTTCACTTTCGTTTTACTGAGGAGAGTAATAATGCTATTGGGAAAATAGTGCCTATGAGAAAAGGTGAAAACAATCTGGCTGGAGTTTATTTTCTGTTATTATCAAATTTAAAGATAAGCAGTCTGAGAGTTAAAGCAATAAACTGAAAAGGTCAACTGACTGTCCTGCACTTGCACTAAGAGTGGGCCAAAATAAAATAAACTTAGATTAATCCAGCCTTGTAGATAGATTTCCCAAATCATGAATTCTAAAGAACACTATTTGTTAACAAAGTGTATTAGCTCAAATGCCTGTTTACTACTCCGTTTCAGTACTGCCAGAACTATGTATAAGTACTCTTCTCCGTTCTGACACCAATTTTGTAGAGAAAACACAATTTTCTCTTACAGTAAATACACTCAGTTTCCACACATATGCGCTAGCTCATAAATCCACTTGTTGTCCAGCTCTCCTTTATCAACAATTCAAAAGAGCGCTGCATTTAGAGATGTCTAATACTGCAATAAACTTGACTAGTATAAGTGCAGTATGTGAATTAAAGAATAAATCATGATATATTAGTATATAAACTGAATGAGATGAGGCAGTAAGCATAGTGGTTAAGCATACAGGTTTTGGGGTTGAGACCTATTTCCACCTTGGACAAGTTACATAATTCATTATATAATATATAAGCACATTATCACTGATTTTTTTAAAACAGGGGGCATGGTTACACAAAGATTCATTATTTTAGTGAAGTAAATTACAACTACTACTCTTTATAGGCAGGAACAGAAAATCACTTGGGGGAAGATCTTTTGTTCTTGGAAGAATCACTTGTATCTTTCTTAGCCATGTAAATATAAAGCAATTAGACAGTTTTGGGGGGCATTGGGGCAGGGCAACAAGCTTTTTAAAACTCCATCTTGCAGCTGCTTCCCCTT